ATGGCAAAGGATACCTGCTGGCAGGCAAATGCACTAGTTTCTTCTTGCGCGGGCAGTCGTGCTCCCTTGCTGCCAACCGTGCAATATACAATCCGGACGCCACGGAACACGCGCCGACAACCCCTCAACCCGCTTCGACCAGGAGATCGAAGCATCTATTGGCACCTTCTCCGCCTGATGCGGATGATCGACGGAAGAGAGCAAAGGTTGTCACAGTCGATCCTGACAACCACGTACAAGGGTTGTACACCTCGGATGAAAGTAGAGGATTTTTATATCTAAAAAGCAGACGGGCGATTACTCGACGCCATCTCATCCGTGTTATGACCTGGAGCATATCTTGCTGCGAGGCGTCATTGTTATGCGGAACATGATTCGGGAAACAAGCACACAGCTACCACGCGGCGATGCTAAACGGGCTCTAAAAACATACCGGAGACAGGTCAACGCCATCTCTTGCAGATCGTTGGCGTATTGTGGTGGAGCCACCTTCATCACACATCAGCTCTGCACGGTTTCTCCTGGGCCCCGTTTGACTGGGACTGGTCGGACGAGACTCCTTGCACGTCATCTCATACTACGGCAGCATCTTGGTGGACACTGACCAGTTTCTCGAAGTCAGAGGAGGATCAATAGTCAACCAAACCAGAGTGTCGAACACTGGTGCTGACGGGGATCTTTGTCCAACATCGATGGCATGCTATCTATCGGCTGGTGTGCCTTGTCTGCTGGATCACTCATGCATTTGTTGCTAAAGAGACCCCATCCTCAAGGAGAGGACTCTAGCTATATTCGGTGGGAAAGGCCGCGACCAAGATTGGGCTGATCGTTTCAGGAATGTCAAGGCACTGTGTTTCTTTCCAACCAAAAAGAAGGCCAGCTTCCAGTTGTTCTTGAGCCCAACTACTTGGTACAGACTCGGAATGAGTGATGAGGAGTATCCTGGCATGCTACAGCATCACATCGCCAAATATATCAGATGATATACCATGCCATTGACGTCGGCCACAAGAAGTGTGCGTGTGTCCGCGTGCCTGGGGGCCATGGCAATGGCAAACGCGAATTCTCTTGGACCACAGCCCGACACTGAATGTATAGCACAGTGCCATCACACTCTCAGTGATCCTCTGGCTTGGGATGGGTTCGATTCTTGAGCCTACCACTCCTTCCAATTTTGGGAAACAACGCTCGAGACGTACGGTACTTCGCCCGTTGGAATTCGTGGGCGATCGAGATTCGACTTCGTCCTCCACAGTTACGCCATGTTGGCGTACATGATCGGAGAGATCAACCATCCTCCATCCCCAGTATGCAATTTGCAAAGACGTGATCTCGGCAGTCTCACGACGAGAGCCAGTCTCCCTAGAGTGTGTCTCGGTGTTGGCGACGGGAGGTCGCCGCTTTCCTTTAGCAAGGAAGTTGCAGCAGCTATTTCCTGCGCGGTCAGAATCAAGGGAACCCAACCGGTATTCGTCGGGTGATCAGCAAGATCATGACAGCATATGGTAATGCGCATATCCAGCCTTGCCAGCCTGGAGCAAGCGACTGGACGGGCCAAGTAATCAACATGACCCCAATCCAAATCCTCCGCCCGGCTTCTTTGTGGTAAACACCAACCAACTGTCCGCGTGGAGGGCGGAGGAACTGGACCGCTCCGACCATTCGACATCCTCATCACCCAACAGTTATGCTACCCCCGCTCGTTGTCTGTAACGAGAATCATCTTCAATCCTGATCAGACCGAATGAGCTATACATCCTGGTGGTGGTCGATTACTTTAGTCGATATATCTTTGGATGTCCGGTACAGGCTGCAGTTTCCGCTAGTCCACAGACGACCCCTCAACAGACATAGTCTCGTCGTCTGAAGCAGAACCTTGCAGTGGAAATCAGCCAAGTTTCCCTGAACCTAAGCAACCACTTCTCGCGCCCTACACAGTCACCGCGAGCTCGAAGGGGAATAAGACCGATGAAGGAATCAACTATCCGGCCTGCAGCTACTATACGCCTGACAACATCACTGCCGGCTCGATATGGGTCCCGCCGGATCAAACTCTCGACACGTTTGTTCCAGAGCTTGGGACGGCAATACCAAAGGGCCATAAAGGCGACGACACGATGAACGCCGGCACCGGACAGGGTTGAGACAATCAAGAGGCGACGGACAACAAGCCATCGGTCGATTCGACTGACAACACGGACCTTCTCGAGCTGCGATGAAGCATTGCGCTATGCTGATAGGTGACCTTAAAAGAAGCAAACCATTTGGCTTCCTGCCTTGCGGAATTCTGACGGAAAGCCAATCTAAATCCGGCTCGAATGGATGAGATATTCCCCCAACCTTTACCGTCGATATATTTAAAAAGCAGCGATTTTCCATGGGAGCAAGCGACCGAAACTCTCTAACCACTGCATTCCTGAGAGGCTTCTTCCTTCTGCACTTTTCTTCTTCTATACAGGGAGGACAACCCACTCTTGTCGAATCGGCGCTTGTCTCAAGCTGGCTCAGCGGCCATGGGCCCTGCTTTATATATATTCTATTTTCTTCACAATATGCCTGGTTCCCCTTATCGACCCGATTGCGGAAAAGAGCTCTTGGGGATATAGTGGCATCCGCAGGACCGCAGGAGAAGAAGCCTTCCCGACTTCGGTGCTAGGTTGGGCACAACTTGTCTCACTTCAGCTCATCTGGGGCCCTGGTACCTGCGTACACACTTGGTCTCAGTCTGGGCCTGCCCGTAAGATGGGTTGTGTTCTGGGTTACGCTGGGTTACGGTACTGATCAGAGGTGCCTTGGGCTCCCTCAGTTGGACAACTGTACCGCCTCTTGAGCTTGGACTTAGGATGGCGGGTACCTCAGTTTGACCCTTGTGTCTTCATACACACCAAGCATCTGATGTTCCTCATCATTTTTGTGGACGACACTCTTGTCTTCGGGTCAGATATGGACGAGATCGGCGAATTCAAGACCTGTCCGGGTTTCTGCGCTCGGCATCCCGACCGCTTCACATTCTTATCTAGTTGAGCGACCCTTCCTCCACCAGTGGCTAGGACTTCCTGACCCCCAGCAGGGGTACCAGCCTGCACCTAATCCGCCGGCAGAGGTATCTCCTTAGCAACAACCCAGCAGGGTGTTCAGCGTGCATCGGTGTCTGATCAGAGCTCGAGAAGCATTGTACCAGTGCCTGGTTTGGGAGGAGAGGTGCCTCCGGAATGAAGCGCAAGAAAAGGAGGCCGGAAAGGCTGAAAGGGTGACGTTACGCTTCTCTCTCCAAACATGACTTCAGGGAGGAGCATTGGTGGATTTTTGACGCGGAAATGCCGCCTACGCCGGGCAGCCCGAGTCGTGGTCTCACCTGGCGGACCAAGAAATTGCAACACCGGTATCTTCCTGGAGCGGTAGCTAACCGCACAACAACCGGACAACACAGGTCGACTCGCATCTTCACGTACTTGGGTATGTGTGTAATCTCGCTATGTGACTGCCAAAATGGAAATTGTGGTTCTTTGTTGGCATGGGGCTGAGAAGGCCGACACGACAGCTGCACAGCTAGAAGTCGAAGAGCTGGCCTTACAAGCCTGTCAGCAGAGTATCAACAGCCATCCATGGCAGAAGTTCATCTTCGACTTCCCATTCGAGGATGAACCACCGATTCGGCTCTGCCTTAGCCTAACTCTTGGCCTTCTCGCCTGTCTCGCCTCTGTTCCAGCCTTACTCTTGGAACTGAAACGCAACAACCTAATCAACACTTACTTCATTTGTCATGGACTTCAAGGCAAAGAGACGATCTCAATCCGCACCTCGCCTCGACTAACGGTCCCTCGGTCTCCTCCTTACTGCCACTACACTCCGGCGCAGGAGGTAAAGTAACGGGCATTGTCACAGGTTGAGCACTTACTAGCTGCTTAGATTCTTGTTGTACCAGGCACGGGATCCAGGTACAACGTGGAATTGGCTTGCTTTGCCATTGGCAGCGCCGTTCAGTATATTGAGCAGTTCTCACACCGAGCATCGCTACTGACAGATCACCCCTCCGTTTCTCACATGTCGCGACCCATACTGACGGAGATTGAACGCTTCAACTGTGACAAATTCGACATCGCAAAATTCTGCCCACTGTTTGATATACAGGGCTCAAGGATTGTTGTACCAGGAACGGGGTCTAGATACAACGTGGAAATGGCTTGCTTTTAAATCAACCTCGCCACTCAATACATCGAACGTTTCCCACAACTGATCGTCGCCATCATTTGTTTCTACAATGCACAATATTTGCTGTACCTGGCAATAAGAGATAGGATGGTCTTGAAGGATTCAATTCTCAACAGTATCCTTTCTCCCACTCATCAGTCTTTGTTTCGATTCTTGACAGTCTCCTTGCTTGAAACTCGACAGTCACCTGTCTCAATTCTTGACAGTCTCCCCTCTCCAAACTCTACAGTCATCTTCCACCTGATCATGGCATTTTTGGTGTTGAAAGACAAGAAATTCAAACACCTGTGTGTGGTCAAAGCGGGCTCTGTCCAAGGACTAGAGATTTATATCACTATCACGGATCTCACGGTCGGCAAAACCGCAGGTTTCCTTAACTCTATGAACCGCCTGGTGGTTCCATCAGTCGAGAAAGGTGTCTTCTAACCTGGTGATCGAGTTTTCTCTAATTGCCAATCTCAAAGCTGAGGAGCAATTCCTACGAGTTCATCTCCCAGATCAGAAGTCTAACGACATTGAAGACACCGCCAATTACATGTGCTTGGTCAACTCTTGGAAGCCTTGCGTGCGTAATGTGCTTGATCAACTCTTGCAAGCCTTGCGTGCAGGCGTAGCCGGGGCACTATGCGTTTTGTTCAGGGCGATGCGCTGAGAATTCCGGGCCCTGTACGGTCATGTTGCCTCCGGCCTCAAGCGCCAATCGAGAAAAACTTCGACATCCAACAGGATATTGTCGACGAAACGTCAAAGGTACAGATATTTCGGTCTTAGGGTCGGAAACAGCCAAGATGTCAGGGCTGCTCCATGGATATGTGTGGCGTACGTTTCGGTACAACGACTTTGAGGCTGAAAGGAGTGACATCCAAGCTAGCAGCAGCCACCAAGTCTCTCCGGACCACAGCGGAAGGGTGCTCGATAAAGGCCTCGAAGACGATGACAAAGGCGCAGACTCGGATCCGGAGACCGACGTATTTCAAGGCATCAACCTCACTTTGACAGAGAATGTGATGGAACAGTATCAGATGTGTTGTGATATCATGAACTCGGAACCATCAAGCAGTGTCCAGAATATCAGAAGCTCGACTATCACGAGATGTGTCCGTCACGGTATCGAAGGATTATTCTGATTTTCTCTTAGCAGCTAAGTGCACAAGCTGTTTCTTCTGTGGCCAAAATTGCTTGCTCAAGAAAACCGTCAGCCTGAGTGGGAATAGGAATCTCTGCCGATGATTCCGGTCTGTCAGACACAGAGCACTCTGATTTGGCTGATACAGTCATTAAACAGGACGAAGAGGCGATCATCCCACCTCCCTGTGTAAGAACAAGTTCATGAGGCTATTGAGTGGGACGACGAGATGTCTAAATGCAGCATCCTTCTTGAAGATATATACGAAGAAAAAGATGACGAGGGGATTTTTGGATTTATATCAATCGCATGGCGAACGAAGAATTACAGAGAAAGCAACCACTCGCCATCCTATCGCCGTCCAGCGGCCAAGGCTCGGAATACAATCACCCAGATATGCTGTCAAATTCTCCCTTTGAGGCTGGGCTCCTGCATCCATCGTCGTCCAGCTGTGCAATTGGCGAGTTTGGTTCACACGCTCGTCGTGCTTACCATTCACATCCACGGAAGTAAACATGGACACTTCGACAACCACTTCGACAGTAAGCAGGAAACTCTGAGATCGAGAGCCGCTACATCGCTTCTTTAGGCACTCAAACGATGTCTTTGCTATTGAGCCATAGCCCTCACCAGAAAACCTTGGCCGGCCATGAAATCGTCAGGGGTTGGAAAGAGTCAGATGCCGGTTAGCCGAGATGTGTCCTAATTATATATACGATATTTTGGGCTGAGGCACTCACTGAATTGGTCAACGAACGCAAACGTCCACATTGGAGCGATTATCGCCCCCGTTCAAATACAGAAGGCAGAAGTCAGCTCTAGCTTGATCAGATCCATACCTGTACATCAGGGGGTGGTTTGAACAGCCCATTCGTACCAGCCATAGGTATGACCTTGAACACTCTTACGCCATTTCTACTGGCAAATGCTGCAAGAGAGAAGGACACTTGACAAGTCACAGTCACAGTCGCCGTTGCTTGTGAGCGACATGGACACTATCAGTGAGCACGTCTCCATAGGTCAGAAGGCGACGACGGCCACGAGTTGTGGACCAACTACACGACCCAGGACCCCGCCGACTTTCACGAGTAGCTCATTGATCGTGAACAAGAGATCCTCCGACTAAGCCGTCTACGTCATACGATTACGACCGCGAATGTAAACGGTATCGTCGAGCAGATCGACCCGATGGAGCTCGTTATCATTCGAGACATGCTCGGCTACGCACGAGAGCTCGACCATCTTCGGTCTATCTACTATCTCATACAGCTGCGGATCAGCGCTCAGAACCCTAACATTATGATGGGTGACACGGCGGGACAACCCGGCTTCCGGTATACCCTGAATATCGCGGTGAGAATTGCCTATACGGCTCTTTCGTTAGGAGACAATTAATGAGCAAGTCCGGGTCACCAATAATCTCGCCCGACCCTCCGGTTTCGATCTCCGACACTACACCTGCTGTGAGCACGTCCCGTGTAACACCATCACTTTCCAAGCCATCCCTGGAGACGACCGCTTCCGTCGAGGTGCCTGGGTGGTGGCCTGTACCACCGCTGTTCATCAGACGATTGTGGGTAGGGCGGCAACAATTCGCTCACAGCCCCAGAGCCGCCGACTCCTTGCTATGAAGCCGTCAAGGAGGGCGGTAAACAAGGCCAGGGTGGTGATACTGATTTCGAGTTTATCACAAGAGAGGCTTCACATCGCCTTGCCTGGTACGGATCCAGGTCCAATCCCTCCTTCGCAACATCTTCCCAAGTGCGAAAACATTACCGAGCCTCGTTTCCGGTCTCACCCCCTCTTCCAGGTCGCATAAACGCCATGCTCATCAACTGGTGTGGCATCCAGCCGCGCTCTTGTTGTCGCGATTGCGTCAGCAGGCTGGAAAGGAAGACTTCTGGACACCTGTGGCCACGTCGGGTGTTAGCAGACGTGAGCTTCGCTTCATTGAACATTGTTGAAGACATAGAGTGAGTCTTATACGGCTCGCAGCCTGTTTTCATACTGACCATGTTAGTGTCGACCGCTACCATGATGCCGCCAATGGGATGCCCTCCGGGCAAGCCTCCCGGCCCGCCGAAGCGAAGTAGGTTCTGTTGCGTTTCGCGTACGACTTATAGCTGACACGTATTGACAGATTTGCCCGACGATGCGGAGCTGTCGTCGCCGCTGAAGAAGGCGAGGCCGTCCAAGGATAAGAGGAAGGTATTGCGCCGTCGTGCCGCTGCTGCTGCCGCCGCTCCCGCTGCTTCCGGTCCTACGTCGTCGCCGCTGCTGCCCGTTTTGCCGCCGCCTACTTCGCCCTCAACCCGCTGTTGTGCTGGTGGCTCCATCTTTCCGCTGACCTTCCCTGTGTGTGCACCATCGCCACCATCGCCACTTTCTCCGAGTGCCATGCTCATGCATTCGGACTTGAGGCGAATTGGACATGTCCTCCACTTGGTGGGTCGGACATGTCAAAAGTGCCATCTGGACCATTGGCCTGGAACGAGACAGCAGTACATCGAGCCATCTCCGAAGCATCACGGGCCACCTCTATCATCCTCAACCATGAGCTAAAGGATAAACCAAACCGTGGAGTATTCAACAAGATCATGCACACTGTACAGAGTACTCACCTACGATCATGCCTGCTATACAAAGTAGTCACCTACAATCAGAATGAATACCACTGGCCACGGCCGAAAAAGTCAAGAGCGCAGCAGCGCAGGGATTTCCGGTTCACGTCCATCCCCACCCACTCATCCGGCCCAGCTCATGGAGTACATCGACCAGCTGCAAGTCAAGGCCAACACACTCAGAGGGAACAAATTGCGCGGATATCTAGGCCATCAAGAGTCCATTAGGTCCTGACGCGACCATGGCACAAAACACCCCGTTCCGTCTCTTCAACAATCACGCACGAAGCATCTCGGAGAACAAGCCCTACACGATCTCGGATGAAGATCGAGTCAATCTAGCCCGACGTCAAGTCCGGCAAACCTAAGACGACCTGGTCCAGTTTCTGCTTGATCCCTCCAGAAGCCCGTGAACATCCAAGGGGCATGCAACATGGTACTGATCGTTGTGACATGATTTTGGGATATGAACCGACTAATTGTTAGGGTTAGGGTGGATGTCTTCGCTGACTGTAGAGGGTAATTCCCTGAAGTCGAGAACGAACGAAACACCAACGCTGAGCAAGGAACTGGGCTCTTGAAAGACCACTATGCTCCTGGCGGTGTGTTGCTAATCAATGGCGTCTCTCTTATCCTCAAGAAATTCCAAATATCCCTATGATCATCACCGGAGAATATGTCTTGGAGGTTGCCGACTCGCACTCTAACTTTTCAGTTATAGAGACACGCAGGTACTTCCTCGCCATCGCCTTGCAGCGCAGACAAAGAGACCGAGGCCCAAAATAGTCACCAGCGAAGACGTATCCCGCCCGACGAAAGATTGTATCGATTCTCCAATCGCAGGGTCAGGCCGATCGGGCTGCGAGGGAGGCGGCCGCGTCGTCCTCTGCCGCCGTCGCACCCGCCACACCTGCGACGCATGGGCCGCTGGCCTCTCAGCCCAATGCCCCCATTTTGAGCGGCTTAGGTATAGGTCAATGCCTAAGCATGAGTGTCGACGAACATCAGACGATTTCCAACACAGCGACATCAATATCATTATCGGTATGTCAGAAGCGTTGGGAACGGGTCTACCTTTAACACGGGCGCCATTCGCTGTCTTGATGGAATAACAGGGCGATCTTGAATCATCCGCAGACGATCGCTCGATATCAGATATCTACGCCAGACAAACTGGAAATAGACCAGGTTTTATGTTTTCGAATTGGACTTCGAATTATAGAATGGAAGCATACCACAAAACACAATAGACAAGATCGAAAAGAGTTGACGAGCCAGATGGACGAACAAAACAGGCTCCAAAAATCATGGAGAAGACAAGGTCGAGGAGAGTTGACGAACCAGATGGACGAACAAAAAAGGCGCTCAAAAATGACGGAGAACAGCAGGACTTGGATGCACAGTTTGTACAAGATGATACGATCAACGAGCAAGCCCTGGTCCTATCCATGATGCATTTAACACGGATGCAGGCTTCAAGGCTATCGACAAACCTGATTCGTTCTGCAAGAGTTCAAAACTCTCTACTACTGACCGGTGGTCGGTATCAAAGTCGACTACGCTATCTCTTCAAGCACAGGCTGGCTGAATCCGACGTCAGCAGCACTCAGCTCATGGGATCTATACAAACCATACTATACTATAGTATATTCAGGAACTACGACTGACGCCACAACGCCCTTTCAAGACAGGAGCCCAATGCCGAGTTCGATGTTTCTATTGTCATCGTCGATCTCATGGTAGCCGGTGTATGGGCATGGATGCATATCCTTGGAAGAAAAGAAGCCACCAGAATCATCAAATGTCAAACTTGAAGTCCGAACAATATCCCAAATAAGAGAGATCCTGTCTCGGTACCAAAGTGAAAGTCAAGATTTGGGTTTGGATCCCAGCCCGTATCTATATTTCACCCCGGCAGACTTCGAGCTACTGACTGGTCAAACCTCGATCACGACGGTGGGCAAGCTGGTACCGTTGGATTCAACAGCGACCGGTACGGAAGTCAACCCAGCAGCATCATACCGGATGGGGAGAGTCTAGATGCAAAACAAGAAATATCGGCGGATGTCCTAGATACGTCATGTCTGCCGCATCAAGTTTGTGTTGTGGCGAAGGCCGAGTTCCAGGCGATGGCGATGTCTCAGAGGAAAAGCGAACCCGAACCACTCTCACACCTTGCCAACGGAGAAGAGGGTCATTGAATCAGAACGGAATCCATCTCCTGAGGCTTGTGATGGCCTGTTATTCCAACCCAAATTCTTGAAGTTTCGGACCAAGAAAGCCACCCCGGGTCGATACCTCACACAGGAGGTATACTTGGCCAAATTGAAGGGAGTTTTCGTCAACGCAGAACAACCAGGCCACGGACGAGTTTTCAGGGAACCTGACCGCGTTCATCGACAATGGTAGTATAGGTCCCAATGATGAGTGAGGAGCTACTGGTCGCAAACCCAATGAAAAACGAGGAAGTCGACGAGCTCCACCGGTCCGACTTGCTCACCGCTGACTACGAGTTCACCGACGCCCACCACAAATCAGACATTCGGGATTTTGTCGACGCCGCGCAGCTGCAAAGGACATTCCACCTCAGTTGAGGGAGACCTTCAGTCGTAATGCCTAGCTTTTCCGATTACCTAAGCATATCAAGATATGCCACAGGAACAGGGGTGACTCGTACGTCTAGCTCCCGATATCCGCAGACTTTCCCCCTAGCCTTACTATGGATCGATGTTACCTACGTACGTCGGGCACTCCAGGTGTTCCATCACAGTCTATATCCCCATCAGCATCTTTCTTTACCTTACCATTTCAGACTATCGAGAGAATGCGTGACGAAGCGGGCGCACGAGACAATCAATCGCTATGTCTTTCAGCTTGAAAACCTCAGTTTATATAGATAGGAGTCGGCATCTTGCAAACCCGAGGCCGACATACCGACCGAATCCATCAAGAACGACGATGCTTCGCAGTCAATGGATAACTCACCGCCTCCTCCGTCGGAGATGGTGGTGAGAAATGGGATCGCGTACGAAGAATGGGGGGTGCTAGCAATCTTGGACTCGAGACAGCCGGACGGCGATACCCTCAAATACGAGGTGCAGTGGGACGGATACCCTGCGACCTGGCAGGTTTGGTGGGACGTGCTGCCTGGCTGCGACAGGCTGGTGCAGGAGTTCCACGAGAGATACCCTGACAAGCCAGGGCCTCCCGCTGATTACGACTTCGAGAGCTAGGGACGCTTTGGACCTCACGGGTACTGCTCTGACCTGTATGGTTGACCAGCCACCGTAGGCGCGTGAACGCTGAAAGCAGCACAAGATCGAGCTTCTGGTTGACCGACACAGCATGGATGCTCCAATCTCAATTCGTCACCATGAGCTCCAGGTGTGGTTTGGAAGAGCGTGGTGGGGAAAGCGTGGTGGAGGCAAGGTAAGGCTGGGCACAGCCTGGTCAACCTGACATGTGTCGAATCGGCTCTCGACTCTTCAAAAACTTAGTTGGATTTTCGGCCAACTCGAGCAGACGGTTGGCGGCAAGGCAAACCTACCATACCGGGATGCAGATGATTTCATCCACAACCCTTGGTTGGGGCAGATGTGGGAGCATCTAGGCCACAAGATCAAGGCATGTCAGCTAGGTCGTCTCTACGACCTGAAGCCAAACGAGGCACTGGCGGTTTACGCAGGCAGAATGGGCAACGTTGACTGTAGATGAGCGAGACACCGTCATACAAATAATTGGGCGTGTGCATCGATTGGGGCAGACCAGACACCAGTACATCTGGTTGGTGTGTGTCCTTGGCACGTATGATCAATGGCTATTTGTCAACGCTACCGCGAAAAGCAGCGGAAGGAAGAAGCAAAGAATCGGCGACTAGAAGAAAGGTTAGTCTATATTGCCATCTGGCATCTTGGTGCCACTAGGACTTGAGGCGGCTTTGGCTAACAATGGACAACCTGAAGCTCCAAGCACCTCCAACGGACCTCCGATCACCCGACAAGTCCAGACCATCCAGACAGAGCCTGATTCCATGAGACTATCTGAGTCTTCTGTTACACCTGTCACACCAACTGGCCCGCACTTTTTATATAAGAAATCGCAGTGGTGGTGTTCCCGACTATACAGGCATGCAATCCTTAAGCAGATCAGCGATTCCGACACTGTCGAGAAACAATCCACCGGCTCAGGCCACAACTTCTCGACGAACCCCTTCATCGCCTTCTCCACGCTCATCTTCATTCCTGTACCGCCCACCCGTGGTACGGGAGATGGTCGCCCTGGCACACCAGGATCTCCAGCGATCAATTCCCGTGACTTTGAGCCACAATTTGGTTGCTGACAGTGTGTCTGTCAACGACCAAGGCCGAAATGATCTGGCATAAGAAGGTTCAGAAGGTCCCCGGAGGTCCCAAGTCCTCTGAGAGGTATGCCTCGATCCCTATCACCCGGTTCCAGTGCTTCTTGCGGGCACCAACCGACGTGACGTGGCACTGCCTCGTGGACGAGAAGTACGGGGATGCGAATGCCAGATCATTTAGCTCGCCGTTCTGTCACACCTGCCACACCTGCCACAATGGCTCCTCAGGCAGGAAAGCGGCGCTGATGGCTTGTGTCATCGAGATGGAACACGGGTTTCTTGGGACTACACAGGTCAACAACTAGCTGAAAGGATTAAAAGGTCGACAGGGAGGGTCGCTCTGCCTCATACCTGTGGCATCGACTTCTTACTCTTCTTCCTCATTTATGATGTGGCTTGATCCTGCAAATGTCTGGATCTGCTTGTCCGGATCTGCTCGTCTGAACGTCTCCCTGAACCCCTCCTTGAGCGCGGAGATCTGCAGCTTCAGACCAGAGTCGCGCTATTTGAATGAAAATGGGTGTGGTGTAGAATGATATACTGTTCTATTTCTAACCTCCTCTAGGCATCTTCACTTGCGAGATGTAAGGGGGAAAGTGGCAATATGGTGTTGAGCGGGCACGCCGTTGCGAGTTGGTAGGTTCCTTCTCTGATACTGTCGGCTTGCTGTGCCATTGCTGATCAAGGTTAGATTCCACCCAACTACAGCGCTGCAAACAGCTACAACTAGCTGGAAAAGCAAAGTTCCCCTTATTCGATTATTGTTCGGCTGTATTTCCCCGGCTTCGAGAAGTCGATTCGGAATCGAGTTTTAGAAACGCCCAAACACACCTATTCGGGTATGGCAACCACCAGCACCACAACCACCAGCACCACAATCACTGTACGTACCGCTTGATCCTCGTATGATTGCTGACATGAGGCTGAATTCCGTTCTCTCTACGGACAACTGTCAGAAGGCGTCGAGTGCGATCAAACGATGCGCATAGCATTCAAAGCAGAACTGACTCGGATCCGCGACCATGTGTTGGCCAATTCTGCCGTGGTCTGTACTACCGTCGGCATCGCATTAGAGCCAAAAGTCTCAAGACCAATCAGCTGGCGTTTGTTGAGAGGAATGGCAAGTACGCTCTCTGCGTCATCGAATCGGAAATCCCAATCTGGTTATATCGACTTCACAATGTTCATGGACACTGGAGCGAGAGAATCACATTATCTCGCGCCATCGGAGAACAAGGCTGTGGTTGAAATGGGGAAGGCTGACCTCTTACGAGAATGGTATCATGATCGCCTATCAGACCTAGCCTTTTCAGCCGTGGGCCAGCGCATTCATTGGCTCGATGATGCCAGCATTTCTCCATGTCAGATCCCCTTGTTCTCTGCTGAACGGTTCGTTGATAGCATAGTACTGTACTCTTCTTCGATTCGGTTCGTCTCTTCGACGGAAACGATCAGACACCAGTCTTACTCGTTCTATACCCCCATGGCAGCTATGCTCGACCGCCGATGAGAGCCCCAGCGAGAAGTCTACCCCCTCAGGTCTCGATGGCAATGAGACAACTGAGACCGTTCGTCCTTCCCCCCCGCCGATCACGCCCCAGGCCGCACTAGAGACCGTCATGGAGGTGAAACGCAGGCTGGACAGGCTCGAAAATGGTCTAAAAGAGGTTTTGGAACAACTTGACGCCAACGATGCCGAACTCGTCGCCATCCAGGCCGGCCTCGTGGTAGATCGGACTCGTACTGCTCTGACAAGAACAACGTTACAACACTATGAGGAAAAAGCCAGGATGGCAAAGGCGCATGAGGAAATCATCGAGGCAGCCAGAGCCGCGGCCCGGAGCAAGAACACCTGGTTGACAGAGACTCCAGGATTACCAACGGTTCTTCATCTCATTCGACATAAATGAAGACAAACAGCTCGGATTACTACTGGAGAATGACAGTGATTTTGAAGAGGACGACGCAGATTCAGACCCAGACTGGACACCTGACGACGTGTACGAAGACGACGAGGACAACGAGATTGAGGCCGAAGCCGCAGAAGTGGATTTCGATGCTTCAACAGAATCTGCCTTTTGCACTGGAGATACACATGGAAACCATCGAGCCTTATTGTTTCGAAAATGGTCTGGTACTTGACGATCGACCTCGTCATTGTTTTGAATCAGATTCAGGTTGTTGTGTGTTAGAGACAGAGTATCCGCATTCGCATCATTTTCGCTGGAAGAATGGAATTGTCGAGTCTCTCCTCGTCACTCGTTTACAGCTTCCAGGAACATTGAAGACTTCAGAAGCACGTGAGCGTCAAGGTCCTCGCTGTCGGAAAACCCACCAACAAGCTCAAGCAACACCATATGACCGCGGACGAGTACATTTGGGTTCCATCTGTCTACTACGTACGGCAACCTGGCAATCGAACCATGTTTGTGATAGGCACTGACCAGAAGCAGATGGGCTACATCATCTTCGAACTCACTTCCCAGCAATCTCTTGAAAAAGATAAAAGATGGAAGCCCAACACCAGAATCGTAGTTTCCGACATCGTAACATCGATTTTGACAGGGCCGAGGTAAGCTACTGGTAGTTACTATGAGGAGTTGGCATTTACTGATTATTACCATTAGATTCATCCCCCTCGATATACTAAGTGCACCCTGTGCTTTCTGTGAGAATCTGTGAGAGGCGAGGCAGGAACTGGCAGCAATCGTGGCGGCATCTCCAACCATTCCGCCCAGCTGTTCGGAGTCGGGCATGGGCAATATTGTAAGGCGACTCGAGAGGACTCTACGGCACCCATGTATCACAAGGAACAACTCGCAGGCCCCAAGCCAAATGGCCAATCCCGCAGCTTCGCTATTTCTGCGGCATTCTAGATAAAGTGTTGTTTGGGCCCGACGGGCCTGACCCGGCGAGGTGCCAGCAGCTCCTCGCTTAGCAGCACCCGCACATACGAGTCGCATGTTGTTTACGTGGGGTGGCCCATGGAACAGGGCATGGCAGGGCTGCTCATTGCGACTCTCGGCCTGTACACCCTCAACATGTGGCCGGAAATGAGTCTTTCGATACCGTTGAGGCGATATGATGCGCAACTTCATCGATCCGGCACACCCGTCTCAAGTGCTGATTTGCAACATCCAAGCCAATGCGTTCAGGGTCAATTTGCAGGGTGCGTGCCTGCTCATCCATCTTCGCGGGCCCAGACTACATGTGTCAGGACCACTGGCACAAGTCTGATCATGGTCTAAACGTTGCAATGAGGGTACCCTTCTGTTGGATAAGGTAGACCTCATCTTCAGAGGAGCGGGAGGCATTGAAAACGGTCTCATGAGAACCCTTCAAATTGACAAAAGAGTACCAAGGTAGGGCCAACATGAACCCCGGAAGTTGCTATTACACCGACGTTGCCCAGGCACTCAACTCGTTCGCATTCAAAGGGCCAGCCAACCTCGTTGGCTGGCATGAGATGAATCGGCTGCGGCTGCGTAGGTTCACAACCACAGAGCAAGAGAGCATGGATGGAAGCCCGCCGAGCAATACGAGCTTGACGCTTGCTGACATTGACTGGATAGCAATCCACAAACCGACGTCAAACTTCGCAGCAACAGCAATCATGGCTGTTTGTTCCAATTGGATTTGCCAGCAATTGGAAGACAAACTCTTCTTCACTCCTATAAATCTTGCTCTCATCATCACCATTCTCCTCTTTTACTTTCTTCACCATTCTCCTCGTTTACCTTCTTCGTTCCTCATGAGTCCAGATTCAGATCACTCCTGGAGGCACCACAGATACCCTCTGTTCTGTACCATATACGACTTCCTGAACACCATCTGCTACATATGAGATGCTCGACTAGATCCCATCGATGAACACCATCTGCCCCATATGAGATGTTGGACTGGATCTCACCGATCCCTTTCAGCTGTCTACTCTCAAATGGATCGGTATCCCATCCCGTCGACAAGGAAGGAGAGATCACGACCAAAGTGCGATATCTACGGAGGTACTCCCACAGTGGAGCAACGCAACTATTCGACAATCAACTTGAACCTAGCTGATTACATCAGTCTCTTAGCGAGGAGCTGCCCGAAAGTATGCTCAAGAGAAATGCTGAATCAACATTCTCTTGAGCAGACTCAGACCACCGCGCTGGCCTTACCATCCAACAGGGCAAACGTTGGCCACACGCGAAATCTCAACATCCACGGCCTATTTATGGTTCAATATCTTGGTCAAGTCACCTCGCTATCTCCCAAGGACGACGAGACTGTCTAGCTCACCACCACACTCTTCCATGTCGACACTCTTCGATCTCGACAGTCTTCCACTGTTACCTTTGCATGTATTGCCATGGACATGGTCTCATCCAAGAGGATCAACTCACCGGCGTCCTTCTGGTCAGGGCAGAGAAGACTTCTTGAAACCGGCGAAAGCCAAGAGACTCCCAGCTATGTCCTTCTCTAAGGATTCAGAGTGCCCTAACAAAGAGACTTCATTGATGAAGCAATTGACTGGCTCATCCAAAGCCGTCACTATGCTTCAATGCTGCTCTCTCTTGCTTGGTCGCTTGATCCTCCAGGCAATCCAGCATATCGGTAGCTGAGGCAGAGGAGTTATTGAATATTTGGCCAAGATGTATTCGAGATTCTCCCCCCTACATTCTTCACACGACAACGGAACCTACAAAGGACCATCAACAGCTTGTCCAGAGAACAGAAAAAACATCAACCAACTCCAAAGCTATCGATGGCAGGAGTCAAGCTCCATGGTATGGTGGACTACATACCAAATGCGATTGCTTGTCGCCACTTCCATCAACAACGGCAGCTATGGAGCGTGCAAAGCCCCTCCCATCGTCCGCTTAGGACATGGGCTCTTCTGTCTGGGAGCCTGATTCTCAAGTCTAATGCCTTGCGGGAGGCCATGACCATGGAGCGAAGCACTTGTCTGCATATGCCGCTCTATCTTTGAGGACATGTTCTTCAAGGAAGCTCTGGATGGCAAAGTATCAAGCATTTCCGCCTTCGAGACGTTCGTTCAACAAACACTATCACTGTCAATGCAACGCGTGATCTTGGTTCCATCCATGACATATCCCTCGAAGGCCTACAGGCGACTGGGTTCCCTTCCCTTCTGACTTGTGGACCATGTCAAGGATCTCGAGCTTTCCGCTATTTTTCTCACCTTATTCTTCTCAACAATCATGCCACAACAGCAGGCCTACTATGCGAGCAGATCCAACATTTGAGGAGATCGGTCGAAGAGCACGCGAGGCTTTTGAAGCCATCGTGAGAAATTACAAACAAGAGACCGCAGTGATATGCCCACGTCTTGCGACTGGGGCACACCAAGCTACCTATGGAGCCCATCTACGTCGAGCAGCATGATGGAGAATCTGAGATCCAGGAGGCCATGTGTAGGAACGCATAGGCGAACTGACTCGTGATGCGGGGAGAGTCTACTAGGAAGAAGAAATCGATTGCTCAGAGAGGCTTATCTCAACGATCCCGCTTCCCAGGAAGACGTTGGTGGACGGCGCGCTGATCCCAGAACCATTGACCACCCCCGAGAACTCGAGCTCTAACTCTGACTGCTCGGGCTGCTGCCATCATCGAAGAGTCTCCACCACCCTTGACCATGGAAGACACGCCGCGTCACCTCCTTGAGAAGTTTGACGAGCAGTGAGTTGGTGTCCTGTTGCGTGCACGTTGATCCCCAAACTAAGCCTCCAAAGCCTGTTCCTGATCGTACCTTGATGGCTTGGTGAGCAGAGCTGAGATTTTGTTCCCACGCGTCTCAGACACGATATCGGAAAGATTACTAACTGTTACTACAGATACCTTGACAAAGCCGACCATAGCTACACTCTTACCACGTCGAATGTGGAGATTCCTCGTTCTATCAAGCAGGTCGCCGGCGCTTTCTCTGCCTAAAGCTGGTCGGCTGACATCTATCTATATTGGGTCAAGTATGGGTGCAGAAACAGGACTGACAGATGGTCTAGCATATGGCAGAATATTGAGCTTACTCCCACAGCCCCCAGAGTCGCGCGCTTCTCGCTCTGCCCGGCTACCATCCGACCTACATTGTAGGGACGATCAGTGCCAGGCAGATCGGGACGCATCGACCCTCATACATCAACGGGATGTTGATCAACTCGCGCGGCATTTTGCCGTGTCCGCCCTGCCAGCAATGCACCAACAGGCTGAAGCCGTTCGCCGAGTGTCGTCAGGCTCCAGGACACTTCGGTGGATCGTGCGGGAACTGCAGGTGATCAGACCGTGCGTCTCACTGCTCGTTCTTCAGCAAAATTAATCGAGGGGGGCTGATCACACTGTCGGACGGTGACTGCCTTGCAGTCGACGTCAGGCTTGTCTGGTCTCAGGAGATATGTATCCTGGCTCTGACGTTCGAACCGAACTTGTCCTTCGCGGCACCGTTGTCGATGGAATGAAAGATGTTCACCGACCTGGAGAGGATGCGTGATGAAGCCGCAGCTCGAGAAACCTCACGGACAGGTCTTCATTAAAGGGTGGACAGAGATACAAAAGACTATCCTGGCCCAGAGAGAGCTACGACCGAATCACTGCCAGAGAGTTCGTGCATATCGAACCATATATGCTGTCAAGCCCCCAGAACTATGGACCCAGCAACAAGATTGGCTGGAAGAAAATGGCTTCACGATCCATACTGACCGCACCAGCCAAGAATAACACCAGCGACGAGTTGACGCGTTTGAAGTCTGGGAGATGGTGCCATGGGGCACATAACAATTGTGCAATGCAAAGGACGCGCCGCCGTTCTCAAACTCAACCCTGGGCCAGCTCTCGGATGAAGAGTTCCGCGCCCTCGAGGATGCCGAGAGCATCGAAGATTTTGTCGATACCATACCCAATAGGCCTGGCATTC